GAACTAATTAGGCTTAAAAGATTCGTCTCGTAAAGTAGTCGCAAGTTATGTAATTAGTTATTTTGTTAGTTTATATTTAATACTCTATATATGTGTTCAGATATTCGATGTTATATGGTATAAAGTTTTAGACGACAAACTGAACAAGCGCTAAATGAAGTACAGAAACTTTGGGGCAGGAGTATTAGAGTAATGAAAAAAGCTGCTGCTGGTGTTGGAAAGTTTGTCTGTACTTCGGGATGGGGAAATAAACTGCCGCCCTGCTTTATATTGCTTAATTATTCTTGTAACGAGAGAAGACTAGTCAACTTTAAGCCAGAACTAGGAGTCGTCCGAGTATACTAATCAGTTTGTTTTGCCTACATACGGTGCAAATAGTTTGACCAGCAGTCCTGCAATATATAAAAAGCATCGTTGGTCAGGCAAAATGTTCTGGTAGAGGGTTCAATAAAGAGAAAGATATTTCCTGTAAACTTAAATTTATATCAAGTTTTGTAAGTTATTTTTTGGAAAGAAAATCGATCACCAATCGATCGATTTGCAACATAATATAAGCTTGATATTGACAGACTCATTACTGAAAGTGCATTCGTGATATGTAAACTTTTCATTTAAGATGCTTTATAGTTACTGCTAATTAAAGTTTTTCATACTTTAGAACAAACCTAAATGGAATCAAATTTGAGACTGAATAAAATATTTTGGTAATGGTAATATCATTCCCTGCACTCACTTTGTCCACTATATTAATCAACATTGTGATTCCTAGCTAGAAGTATTTTGGTTATGATGTATATATGGTTCATTAATATAATGGACAAAGTGAGTGTAGGGAATATATTGATAGAAGTATTAATTAACATCAACATATCCTAGCTATAAGTATTTTGGTTATGAATATATTGACACAACTTTTATATGGATATATATGGACGAAATTAAATAGCAGTATGTCGATCAATCGTGTCCACACAATGCAAGATGACGCAGCTGGGTGATGGAGGATGGATTCGTTATCGGCATACGTAGGCCTACATGAACCAACTATGTTGTATTCTTGAGAAAGAGGAGTAGCAAACTTTATTTTAAGGCCCTGTTCGCTTCTCTTATAATCCGTTTTTTCAACTGGAATAGTGTTTTTCTCTCACAATAAATGAGCCGGAACAATATTTCGGCTTGTTTTTTCAACAAAGCGAACGGAGCCAGAAATATCTCACGCTCAATAAAGGCCGCTGCGTGGTTTTTTTATTCCGGAAAAGCTAGAAAGAGAAACAGTGCGGATGCGGCGTTGTGCCGGTACGTACTGTTTGAGAACCATGCATTCTTGATCGTTTCTGTGGCTTATAAATCGACTAATGCTATTTTGTTGTAAGAGAAAAATATTGTATTATAACTGATAAGCATGACTGAAACGTTCAAGCGAACAGGGTCCTCATGTTGCATTGCAACCACCGAATCTAGTATAGTATTCTAGGTCCTCAAGCCATGCCCCGCCCGGCCATGGTGCCCCCCAAAAGGAGCGGCATCAAGCGAGACGGCACGGCCCCCTTCCTTGTCTACCGCGGGCACCATCCCGGATTAGCTTCATTTCTGGCCGGGGCTCTCTCGGCCGGATTATTAGCTTCAAACACAACCATCCCGCCGGTGTTTATTTATTGGTTAATGTTTATGTATGTATACATGCCCGGGCCTCGTATACTTTCTTCATGCATGCGGCTCAACTCAACGGGAGAGCAGTCTAGAGTATGCATGCATGCGACTAGCCTGCAGCTGCAGGCCATGTAATCCGGTGACCATGACCTGCTGCCGATCGAGGCTGGGGCGGGTCCGACAACGCTGTACCTGACCTGTGTACCCTTCCAGAGAATTCCCGCTGCTGCTGCCACGCCTGTACGATGTCCACGCACGGGCTAGTTGACGCCCTTGCAAATCTGCCTGACACAAAAAAAAAAAGAAGATTTCCGTCACATTGGTATATGCATGTAGTACTAAATGTTAACGAAATCAAAAACTAATTGTACAGTTTAGTTGTACTTTGCGAGACAAACGTTTTAAGCCTAATTAGTCAACGGTTGAACAATTATTACCAAATAAAAACAAAACGCCACAGTGTAGCTACAGTAACACCAAATCCGGCGGCGCCGAATCCGGCCTCCAACTAAACGTGGCCTTGGTTTTTGACGTCTGGGGTCGGATGCATGTGTCTGGGTGCAGCTCCCCAGGCCAGGGTTCAAACCAAAGTTGAGTGTTCACTCTTCAACCCGGTCTTTTATTGTTAGGTGGTATTTAAATTTAGGGACTAAAGTTTAGGGTGTTATATCGGATATCATATGATGGTGTTCGGATAGTAATAATAAAATAAATTATAGAAGTTCTCATGAATCTGTAAGACAAATTTATTAAGCCTAATTAATCCATCATTAGTATATGTTTACTGTAGCAACACATTGTCAAATCATGGACTAATTAGGCTTAAAAATTTCGTCTCGCAAATTATTCGCAATATGTGTAATTAGTTATTTTTAGTCTATATTTAATACTCTATATATGTGTTCCAACATTGGATGTGATATGTACTGAACTTTAGGAAAGAAACTAAACAGCGCCTTGTTAAAAAAAACCCGGTCCCGTACTACTAGCTGATAGTAAATTAATAGAGTGTCCGCATCGCCATGCACGCCCGGTTTCAGTGACAGGCCTCCTGCTGCTGGTCGATCGCGCGCTGGCCCAGTCAAAACACGCGCTGCGTACGTCGCCCGCCTCCAAGTGTCGGCCTGCGCCGGCGCGCCTCGACTATCCACCCTACCATTAGTAGCAGCTTAGTTAAACAAACGCCTAATAACACTGGAGATTCGGCCGGGCCCATATGCAGATTAATTTAAGCTTGCTCGCCACGAGCCCACGAGGGAGCGTGCCCAGCTGCGTCGTGCGTGTACGACTGTACGAGAACGGCCGGTGCAGACATGCCCGAGGCGCGCGGCCCTAACCTGCAGCCAGCCAAGCCAAGGCACCGCGTCGATCGCGCGCCACCACTGCTATATAAACAGCACGGTCGCACAGGCAGACAAGCACAGCACACAGCTAGGAGCTAGCTAGCCCACCATCAGCAAGAGTTCCGCGTGCCTGCAGTCCACGCGCGGCTCCAGCCACAGCTAGCTACGACTAGTTTGCTCCATCGACCAGGAGCCAGGAGCCAGCCAGCCATGCCGGCCTTCGCGGGGAGCGCAGCGGAACCGCCGCTGGCAGATAGCTACTACGCGCTGCTCCGCCGCCGCGGCGGCGGCAATGATGAAGCAGGCGCCTACGCGACGTCGACAGCGCCTTCAGACAACGTGCCCGTGGCGGAGTGCGAGCTCCCGATGATCGACGTCGGGTGCCTGACGAGCGACGACGGCTGCTCCTCGGAGGCGGAGCGCGCGGCGTGCACGGCCGCCATCGCGCGCGCCGCCGAGGAGTGGGGCTTCTTCCAGGTGCGCAACCACGGCGTGTCGCAGGCGCTCCTGGACGCGATGCGGCGGGAGCAGGCGCGCCTGTTCCGCCTGCCGTTCGAGGTCAAGGCCACGGCCGGCCTGCTCAACAACTCCTACCGCTGGGGCACCCCGACCGCGACGTCCCCGCAGCAGCTGTCCTGGTCCGAGGCCTTCCACGTCCCGCTCGCCGGCGTCTCCGGGTCCGCCGCAGGCGGCACCTGCAACTTCGGCGAACTCACCACCCTTAGGTTCGTATACGTGCGCAGTATCACTTCTGTTAAGTGTGAACGTCTCCCCAATTAGCTAAACTACAAGTACCGTGCTTTTTTTCATTTTTGTGCCTAGTTTTTTTTTGGAACGAACGAGCTTAGTCGTACAGCGCTCGACATGTGTCTACCCGTTGTCGATCAGATTCTTGTATTCTATCTCGTCGTGCAAGCTGAACTAGTTCTGCCCAGCATTTTCTCAAGTACCAGGAATAATATCTATACTACAGAAAAAGCTTTCCTATCATCCTAGAGGGACTGATGACTGGTAACTAAAAAAATACTTATATATGATTCGATAGGGTTGCATGACTACGACGCTGATTAGCTAGTGCGGCGGAATAAGTACTAGTAGTAGTAGCTGCGATGACGTAATTCTGAGACACGATATAGTGTTTTTTTTTTTCATAATAAAACAGTTTCAGCCAACTTATAAGTCACATAAATAATCAAGCGAACAGGGTGTGGATTTTCGGCGGTTAATAAGCTAGCTAGGCACCATCATCCTCCAAAGTGTGTAGTGGCTGCTGGTGGGCTGCAACTGTATAACTCACGTCTGTCTGATGTCCATCAGTGGATACTCATGCAAAGTTAGTCGTTGACCCATGGTGAGTAGTACAAATTCATGATTGATTTACTATGCATTTTTTACGGCTAGCAACAATTAGGTTATTATATAATATAAGTGTGCATGTGTCCTATCAGTGGTCCTCTCTCATGGGTTTAGTAAAAAAATTGGTGATCTGGTGATCACGCAGTCAATCAAGTTAATGAAACATCAGTGGATTTCTTTTCGTCCATATTCTTGTCTTATTTTTCTATTCTTTCTATAGAGTATATAAGAAATTTGATATTCCAAAAATAATTGGCCGAGCTCGCTCGAAGCATTGAATCTTGTTAGTACTAGTTGCATATTATATAGATAGCAATAAAATATAGGGGGGATTATTAAGGTCTTCAGGTCGGCACAACAATATATTATATTATATTATATTATATTATATTATATTATATTATATTATATTATATTATATTATATTATATTATATTATATTATATTATATTATATTATATTATATTATATTATATTATATTATATTATATTATATTATATTATATTATATTATATTTAGGTTACACACAGTTGTTATATCATATCATATAGGCCGGAGTAATAAGTAAGTAAGCCACCAGGAGCAGGAGGAGTCATGATCGTGCCGACGTCGCTGTATGCAGGGATGTGACTCGGGAGGTGGCGGGCGCGATGTCAAAGCTGGCCGGCACGCTGGCGCGCGTCCTGGCGGAGGCCGTCCTGGGGTGGGGGCGGCCCGCGGCTGGCGAGCGCTTCCCGGAGGGGTGCGACGAGACGACGTGCTTCATGCGGCTGAACCGGTACCCGCCGTGCCCCATCTCCGCCGACGCCTTCGGCCTGGTCCCGCACACGGACAGCGACTTCCTCACCGTGCTCTGCCAGGACCAGCAGGTCGGCGGCCTGCAGCTCATGAAGGGGGACAGGTGGGTGGCCGTCAAGCCAATCCCCGGTGCCCTCATCGTCAACATCGGGGACCTCTTCCAGGTACGTTGTTATGCGCATCATTTTGCACGTTGCAGTTGCTGTGTTTATTTGCCGATCCATCGGTCGATCGGTCGTCGTCCTAGCTAAGCTACCTACTGGTTACTGTACTACTAGCAGCGAATTAAAGCCCACATCGATCGATCGATCGTTTTCTGCACGAGAAGAAACATCTATCACTCACAAGCTGTGTCTTCATTCGTGCAAGTACAGAGTCTAGTATATGATGAACATATATATTCCGATTCCAACTCTCTTCAAAAGTGGGGCTTGCTGTCCCGTACGTCCTCGGACACGCACAGCGCGTCGCGCAAGGCCGGAACGCTGTTCATGACGGTACCGCATGCACATGTACTGCTGCGCTTTTCGGCAAAAAAAAAAAAAAAAACCCGTACTGCTGTTCCGCCGATAGTTGGAGCCTTCGAGGGACAGGAAAACACTCAGTACCGAACCTCACCTGTCCATGCATGATACTACGCACTCACATCTCGCCACATGGTGTATTGCAGCTTTTGCGAGGGAACCAATGGGAGCTCTCGATCACGCTAGTACAGCTACTATATGGAGTACTATAAAGTGATCGCCATTATCCAAAAAGAGAGATTATATAGTCCTAACTTACCTACAATGTAGCAGTAGTTAGTAGGATCATCAGCATCATTCATGCATATGCAAATTATGCATTGTTTTACCCCCAATGTACGGTGGCTTCCTCTTAGTTTTTGGTGTGTGGTTGCATTTTGAAGGCGTGGAGCAACAACAGATACAAGAGCGTGGAGCACAAAGTGATGACGAACGCCAAGACGGAGCGCTACTCCGTTGCCTACTTTCTCTGCCCGTCCTACGACTCGCCGATCGGCACGTGCGAAGAGCCTTCTCTTTACAGGTCATTCACCTTCGGAGAGTACAGGCGAAAGGTGCAAGAAGATGTCAAGAGAACCGGGAAGAAGGTCGGCCTCCCTAATTTTCTCGTGTAATGCATGCATCTGTGGTCTACATACGCTTCACTGTCTCATATCGTCACTTCACTGCCGGTTCAACCCCCGCCCTCCACCGCTAGATTTTGAACCGGTACAAGAATGATATTGAGTTTAAACCGGCAGTTATATATTGAGTTCTTGGACCATGTCAACGCATGTTCCTTTCTGTATTCCTGCAGCTGGAGTGTGTACAATGGAGAGTGCAATAGTGCTGTGTGATATTGTTATAGACATTAATAAGTACTAATTTGTAGCTTAATTTGATGTAGCTAGTAGCATACAAGAATGTAGTAGGATCGAGAGCGTGCATATATCTTTGTTAGTATAACGATCGTTGCCGCTGATAAGGAACAGATCGTTTTGTGTTTTTTCATTTCCTGTATAAGAATGAAGTTACATGTAGGCTGGTGGAGATTTTATTATATATTTGTTCATGGCTATGTATGTGTTCACCATACACAACCGGAGACCGGCTCTTTGTCGAGTGCCAAGTCGATTGCCGAGTGTTTTTTTTCGGGCACTCGGCAAAGAAGCTTGCCGAGTGCCCGAAAAAAACACTCGGCAATCGACTTGGCACTCGACAAAGAGCGGTTCGTTGTGTATGGTGTGGAACAAATATAAAAAAATCTCTTTGCCGAGTGTGGAAAAAAAACATTCGGCAAAAAAAAAACACTCGGCAAAGAAGCTCTTTGCCGAGTGTTTTTTTTGACACTCGGCAAAGAAGCTTCTTTGCCGAATGTTTGACACTCGATAAAAAAGCTTCTTTGCCGAGTGTTTTTTTTGACACTTGGCAAAAAAGCTCTTTGCTGAGTGTTTTTTTTACACTAGGCAAAGAAAATTTCAAAGCACATTTTGAAGCAGTAAATTAATTCAAATGAAAAAGTTTTCAAGTACAAAGTTGTATAACTCATCAAGATGTACAATGTTTGTTTTGGTCTTTTCTTCATATGACAAAGTGAAAGTAAATTTGTTCACAAATCTAACATATCTCTCTTGTAGTTTAAGAAACTACAAGAGAGATATATAAGATTTGTGAACAATGTTAGAACGACCATGTCGGATGAATAGATGACCAAACAACCAAAATAAACTTTGTAGATCTCAAAAAGTTATGAAACTTTGTAGTTGGCAACTTTTTGATTTGAAATCATCTTGCCATGCAAAACTGTGTTTGAATTTTAAAAATTTAAAATTCAAACTTTTCAAACGACCTCAGATGAAAAAACAACCAAAATAAACTCTGTAGATCTCGAAAAGTTATGAAACATTGTAGTTGGCAACTTTTTATTTGAAATCATCTTGTCATGCAAAACTGCGTTTGAAATTCAAAATTTTGAAATTCAAATTTTGTAAACGACCTCGGATGAAAAAACTTACTAAACTAAAAGTGTAGATCTCAAAAAGTTATGAAACTTTGTAGTTTACAACTTTTTATTTGAATTCGTTTAGGGCCTCAAACAAGCAATTTACACTCGGTTTAGTATAATATGTGGGGAACCAAAACGGAAATCTAGACATAGGTGGCAGTGTGGTGCAGTGGTTAGAGGAGGGGACGCGCGAGGGAGAGGTCGTCGGCCTCGTAGCCGCGAATTTTACGTGAAAAATGCCGGAGATGGACGGGCGCTGGCCGGTGGGGGCCTCCACCGATTAAAAAAAATTCCCATTTTTCGGGTTTTTTTCGGTTCCAACTTTGCCAAGTGTCGGGCGAGTGTGATAGTTATGATATATATATATATATATATATATATATATATATATATATATATATATATATTGAGGCAATCTGTTATATTATTATAAAAAAGAATCATATAGTCCTATTAAGTTAATGCATACTTCGGCAATACAAAAGAATCAGCAAAATGTCTGATGAACTCTTAATAATGAATTTTAGGATCCCGGAACAACCTATTTTGATATCCTCATTTTCTGTATAGCTATCTTAATCACCAATGGCATATCATATCAGGAAACTAAGCTTTGCACACAACATCTCTACAGTAATGGACCAATCAAAATTATACTAGGTCTCCCTAGAAAAACGCCCCCCGCTGAGAGCCTCAACCATTGTGCACCCAGAAAAATACACACAGGAAATTGTCTCTATTAAAATCAAGGGCTAAAAACACCTCTCACAGGCTTCAAACCCAATCCGATGGTCGATATTACATGTTTGATGCCAGGCTTCAAACGCCGCACCCCGCCCCTCGCGCCCTCCGCCGGTACGGCTCCGCCGCGACTCGTCCGTGTGCCCATCCGCCCCAGTTTGATTCCCACCTCCCTCGTTTGTTTTCCCTTTTTTCTGAAAAAAAAAAAGCCGCCGCGGCCGGCGGCCACCAGCCCGACCTCCTTACCCTAGACCTCATCCCCCTCGCCTCCATACCAGGCCGGAGCAGCCGCCGCCCCGCACAAGCGTCGGTCCTCCTCCTCGACCACCGTCCGCACCCCGCCTCCCCGCGCCGGAGCCGGACCCGTCGGATCCCGCCGCGCCGCCAATGAGGAGGAGGATGACCGTGTCTTCCTCGTGCCCCTCAGGTGACCGCACGCCCGCCTTACCCTGTCCACATACTGCGATGCCAACCACAAGCCAATATGGACGACATGTCGCCATTGTCGAGTACTACGCACCGACCACCTGCATTTTCCTGTGGCCCTGTATTTGTTCGTGTGATATGCCATTGGTTACTGATAAAAAAACCTTTTCTCCAATCTATGGTAACGTTGATTTGGAAATTCTGAACTTTGGATGGCATCAGTTCATGCCGGCTATTGAATTGCAGTTGATACTTTAATAGTCATTTGTTTTTATGATACCGATTTTGGTGTAGCTGCACAAAGAATATATTTGTTCCTGCAGTAGATAGTCATCTTGTATTCTTGTTTATTCTGTTAGATGGGCTTGCCTGACCAAAGAATGTAATATTTTTTAGATAATTTGATAATGTAGCTATCTACTATATAAATTGCGCAATTCTTCCGTATTGCGTGGTGTCCATGAATAATTTGGGGCAAATCTATATTTCTATCAACCGGTGGTGTCCATGAAAAGAAGTCTCAATCTTGATCCACTCTCACTTATTGCTTTACTCATGCGTGGCGTTTTGTTGTTTCTGCTGTTTTCTACCTAAGTATGATGTTGTGGACCAGACCCCTTAGACTGTATCTCTCTGACTGACATTGTCAAGCTCGACCATACATTGGTGGGCACATAATTAGCATGTTAATTTTTCACAGCTTTCCTCCACACAAATTACTACTATTATTTTGATGGAACAGCACGGCTCCTAGCCTAGATCATCATAGTGGATATCAATATCATAAAGAAATAGCAGACATTGTTATGAATAGACGAAACAATAAATAGGACATTTTTTGAATGACTTCTTATTATCAATTATTATCACAGACTTGTTGCTCCCTTCCCCCACTGAGAAGAACAAGATGAGCAAGAACGCCGGAGCGGGTGAAATATTCTTTCAACAACTTCTCATTCAAGGTAAACTATTATCTGAAAAATTCTCTGTTCCATTGCATACGAGTTTTCTTTTTTGAATCTTGTCTTTGATGACTGAATTGTCCTTTCCTTCTTTTTTTTTCGTGATGTGCAGAACATCTCTCAGCTAGCATCCATGAACTATGATCTGATGACGAAGCACAACTTGGATCCTTTGTAGTCCTAAAAAATCAGAGCAGTAAAGGTAGGTAATAATGTCCCATTTATGAATGTTGTAAGCTACTGGACTGGACATTAGTAGAACCTAGCTACACTGTTCTTCAGTTTTTGTTAGTCCGGAACTGAACCTCACCAATCACCGCACCAGCAAGCTTTGACCGAATGATTGCAGTTTCATCTGGAACATGTTGCCCAGTCAATGAGCACAATTAAAAGTCAAATGCATGTCGAATCCAAATCACATCTCTACTATAGTGGACCAATCAAAATTATACTAGGTCTCCCTAGAAAAACATCATCTGCTGAGAGCCTCTAACCATTGTGCACCCAGAAAAATACACATAGGAAATTGTCTCTATTAAAATCTAGGGCTAAAAACACCTCTCACAGGCTTCAAACCTAATCGAAGTATTTATAGGGAAGCTTCTTCGAATGAAGGATAGGCAAAATTAGATTGCTAATATGGAATAGCTTGCACTGAGAGTCTGAGACATGCATTATCAGAAGATAGGATGGTATCCACCTTTGTAATCTCTGACAACTGGCTGCTGATACATAGTGAATATAAACCTTGTTTGTAGAAAGATGGCACAATAGGTAGCAATGTAAATCCCTCGCCTTTTTTAAGAAAATATTTCTGAAACCTGTAAGTCTGTAAGTGTGCTGAATTGGAACGTTCGGTGCCTTTTACAGTGTTTGCATCAACAGAAACAACAGCAATGCTCCTACCATGCAAGCCCTGTCATAAGTTGTTGTAATAGTAATCTTCCTGTAATCTAATACACAGAAGCAAAAAAATATATACAAAAGGTTTATCGCAGCGACAGAGAGATTATCTTTGTGAATTGGATGGGTGACTTTGCATTGTCAAAAGTTGTATGTGGTTGCAGCACCGGGCGTGGTCTTGCAGAGCCAGCTAGCATAACGGAATCCATCACAAGTATTACGAGTTTCAGCACAACACCAGATCAGTGAAGCCATCAATTCTCCATTTCAGGTGATTTTGCATTCTAACCTTCCTTTCCATGCAGGATGCAGTAACTATGTGTAAACTGTTTTTTGAGTGCTGTGAATTATCTATTTTTTCTTCTTTCTTGGTAGTATTTATACTGATTTTTTAGCAAACTTGCAGGCTGCTTGTAGTAAGAAAATTGACGAAGAAAATCAATGTGTGGTTAAATATGTGTGTGTGGATAAATGTATAATGGCAGGTATAAATATGTGTGTGTGGAAAAATGTTGTTGTGTACCGTTAGCATGGGTTGGTTTCTTGATTACCCAAACATATATCATACTTTGGTTGATCTATGTTCTTTTTTTGTGTC